CCATCAGCTACAACTCCACCAACTCGTGGTGTTTTCCCTTCTTCATATTTGATAACTAGATCATCAACCGCTTTCTCCATTACATCCAAATTTTTCGTACAGTTCAGGATTTCCTAAACAGCTAATTCTGTTAAATTTAGATAGTGTTAATAAAAAATTTCACAGCGAAAAACCGGAAATAGAATTGCAGTAACCAATAACTTTTCCTGTGTAACTGTTCAATATTTGAAATCTGTCTCATACTGAAACAAAAGTTTGTGAAATTTGCATAAGAATATAAAGAAAAGAATATTACATGTTGCATATATTCCTTATACAGTTTTCTGTCAATCTGAGCTCGAAGACCCAGCACAGCTGGTCCATGTGAGGAATTCAATGCGTGATAATTTATAGCTGATTTGTCGCAAATTCTTCCACATAGTCCATCTAATGCATCCACTTCGCGTACAAGATGTCCTTACAACTGATTAAATTTTTACATATACAGATTTTCTCAATTTCTTCCTCCTTCCCACCCTCCTTTCCCTCTACTCCAACCTGTTTTGCTTATTCTTAATATAAACCAAGGTTTTTGACTTTCTATGATCTAAATGAATCCCCTACAATAACAGTCGTACTTGCATCACTTTACGTAACTACCCTTCTACAAAGCATCAAGAAATCAGGAAATGCAGTGTCGAGATATTACCTTTGCCAACTCCACCAAAACTCGGATTGCATGACATTTCGCCGATTGTATCCTTCCTGTTGGTCAATAACAACGTATGAGCACAACATCTAGCAGCTGCAGCGGCAGCTTCGCAACCAGCATGTCCACCACCAATTACAATAACATCGTATATTACTTCTGCATCTCCACCTGTCAATGTGGATAATGTCCTTCGAAACATCCTTTGATAAAGTTAAATGTTGCGACAGTTGCAAATTGTCACCGTCGCAATTATTTTATCGAGTCTATAATAAACAAAGGATGAGTAAAAATCTCATCCATGCGAAGCACATAGTCTACTAAATCTTTCTCGAGAAAAATTTGCTCTAGACATTTTTTTGACGAGGCACCGATTTAAATTTGAACAGTGTTTTAACAGCAATTGAAGCTACTTTGTGAAACAGAAATATGTCACTTATAGCCATGAACAGATAATATTCACATACTGAAGAACGTTGAAAAAAGAAATCTCAGTTTCAAGGAAGATGAATCGTTCGCTTTATTTGGAAAACTATAGTGAAATAAAGTAGGAAATAATTAATGAAACACAAAATTCATAGCACCAACGAAATCCTAAAAATACAAATTTTAATAAAAACATTAAAGCAGTAATTAAATAGTGACAATATGAAAGATAAAGAATAGATTAAATAACTGCAGCGATTACAATTTTGCATTCTGACATATCAAATAAATCATAAAATGTTTTTGGTAAAATAAAATATGGTAGCTATAAAAAAGAGACATAGATTTTGAAAAAATGTTGATATTGATGCACATAAAACCAGTGAAATGAAAGGGACAGAGTTGCCAGAGGAAGTTTGCAGTTCCAGACAATTTGTTTAATGCAAATGTGATTTTTATAAGTTTTTGAACAAGTCATTGAAGTATTCTACGCATTGAGGAAAGACACAGCAATATATCGAGTTCCACTAGTAACTAGATCTTCATGTATATGGGTTAACTGTCTGAAAGCATAGCTGCATATCCTGAAAAACGAAACTGAAATATCTGAATTATGAAAAATGTCGATTAAAAAATAACGCCAAATTAAGAACTAGAAAGACAAAAAACGTTTAAGACAAAAAAAGAAAGAAATATAAAAAAGTACCAATCTAATCAGCGGAAACTGTGCAATTATAACGAGCATAATGAATACCACGTCTTCGTAGTCTCTACCATGCTTATTGAAAGGAATATCTACGGTATATGTTGAAGGATCGCGATGAATTTACAAAAAAAATTGATCGTTTTGCTTGTATCAAGCAACAAGCATCGTTGCTGCTTTCACTGGCTATAATAACTTGGAAATCCATTCGATCATCTGCATAAAATCAATTCGATCTCACGGTATGACAAGTATAAAGAAATTAAATAAAAAAAATTGCCATTATTATCACTGTACTTTATTAAGGATTATAATATATGTTATCATCCGCATAGCATGCCTAGAGCGGGGTGAGAGCTGACTGAAGCAAACTTCACTCTTCAACCAAGGTGATCTATGATAAACAGCGGTATATTGTTATAAAAATATTTGCTAAAGTAATATTTATATGCGAACTATTGAGTTTACAAATGTTGCAGACATAATATTACAGGAACAAATATGTTATGATTAGAAAATACCTTTTGGTATTATCCGATGAAAAGCTTTCCTTGCACTGGGCGAATATATTCATCGAGAAAATATAACCACTCTCTTTCAAAAGTTATTTGTTCCATGTGAATGTGAACAGTTGGTACATTTTTATACCCACTAACTAAACGGTCATCCTATAAATCAGTTTCTATTTTCTGAACTTTTTTTTAAACAAATCATCTTAAATTGGAAAATTAAAAAGAGTAAAAAGTTGAGAATATATAGAATGATTGTAAAGTGATTGCAATAAAGAAACATTAAGCAATGTTTACTCCCCCATAAATATCGAATTTTTTTAAATCTCTCACTTGTGTAGTGATCATTTAGATGAAAATGCATGAGTTTCAAAATCCGTTAAAATCAACAAAAAATTTACTTCATTTTTTCCACTTGACTAGTGTCCATAATGCTCCCTTTCTTCAATTAATTCCTCATAAAGTTTTCAGACATTAAAGGATAGTTATAAACATCTGGAAATGGCTGAGAGATATCTCTATTATTCAGTATTTCATAACATTTTGCATGTATGTAACGCTGCTCCCAAAGCTAAAAATGACATAAATCGAGCCACGAATTCGAAAATATCACAAACTAGATATGTTACTGCAATGTCCCTATGACTTGAAATAAGCATATACACAAATAAAGAGAAGTTGAAACTACCCACAAAGAAGCCTTCCTCGTCTCTTTTTCACTCAAGTTAGTGCTGCTATTGTCGCATCCGATACAGATTCTTCGCATTCTTCGGAAACACTTTGACCTAAACAGGCTGAGCTGCAAAATTTGCAGCACCATAAGTACTATAACAAATATAAGAAGGAACATAGTGTTGCTGTAAAATAAATCATTTTGTTGTAATAAGTGATTAAAAATGAATGAACTAAAATTCATATGAAATCATTACTTCTAAAAATATTTAAATAGAAATATTTAAAGGAAATTGTAGGTGGCAATATTTCTATATACGTTTTTTTTCAATCGAGATTTAAATAATTCCATCAGGAAAATTTATCTTTCTCATCGTACGTTTGATTATTGTAAACATAAAAGTCAATTTTGGAAGTGGGGTAAGATATATGCCTTGCCAAAAATTTCCCTATAAATGGAGTAGGTTTGGTAATAAAAAGTGCCTATGTAACTGATGGCCACGCATTTTCAGATATTTGCTGTAAAAAAAAGCTATCATGAATAGAGTCCAGATCTTTTCTAATTGCTGATGCAATTCTTTTCTTTCCCTATTACGGGAATTCATTCAGATTTCATTATCAAATTTCATTTACACATGTGTCCAATTTTAGATCCCAAAATCTGGAACTAAAATCAACCAAACAAATAACTTACTAGCAAGTTGCTTGTGTCGCATTGTAGATAGCCATCTTGATAGATCAGACCTTGCCAATATAGTTACCTCAATGATTCAAGAGCTGAATTCCTTTCATACTTCCAAGGATTACTGGTGGACGAGTCTCGTACAAAGTTGTGCACCTAGAAAGATCTACTTATGAGAAAATAATCGCAGGATGCTATTTGTCATATAAATTACGGGATAAGTATTTTTCACTGTGGCTCAAGGAAAAAACTGCCATCGATATCATTAATCTGAGGGAAGCTGGATGGTAAGGCTGAATGTAGTGCGGAGGGGATTTTAAATAAGACTGTAACTTGCATACGCATGCCACTGTCATCGATTAAGAGCATCACCTCAGAACTGATCCTGTCAACATTTTGAAATAATATTCCTTTTATATCAAATGTCAATCCCAGGGTGTCCTGTAAAAGAAACTTGAAAAATTGGATAAATTACAAATACATATAGTGCAACGAATGGGAAATAAAATTTTCTGAAATAGAAGAGTCGTCCTATATCTAAATAAAAAAAAATTCTGAAATTATCGAAAAATATAAGGTTTGTTTACCACTGAATTGTCAGAATACAAGATATTGTATGATAAAGTTTTGCCATCATGTGATCCAATAAAATCAAGCACATTCAAAATGTTTCGGACAAAACCAATTAAAGCGACTGACTGAACTTCGCTAAATAGTAATTGGAATAAACTATTCGTTCAACACATTCTTGAAACAATGTAATTAAAGGAAAGACAATATATTGAATTTATTCAATAATATCGTTGTGCTTACACCGTATTTGGTGTAAGGAGTGCACGACAAGTGCTGCAGGCGTTAAACTGACAAATAATATCACTTTCATCTTACTTAACAACATCAAGTAATTTAAAAATTCGATGGGCTTGAAAATAAAGAATCAAAGTTTTCTAAAAAAATTTTCTAAAAAAAAAAGTCATTTCACAATCACATATAAACGCATTTATGTTTTTACAGTACGACAAAATAAATGATTTAAAATGTTAACCCATCAGTAATGAGCAAAATAGTAGAATTTGATAATCTGTATACCCCAAGTTCAGTCATCAACATTCGTAGTAATTTATCAATACTCCAAATTGATAGAACTGCTTTTTTTAACCTTAATGAACAATAGAAAGTGAAGAGTAACCATCAAAATTTGTATAGTTAACTTGTAGATTTAATAAAATACGTAAATTTATATCAATAGGTTTAAATAAGCGAGAAAAAAAAATACAAACTCTTTCGTTTCCATGATGATTTGAATGAACTGTTTCCTAAATGGACAATCTCCGATATCGAAAATCGATATCACAATGCTCGGTTGAACACTTCAATCTTTCTAAAGCATCATTACTGCCATCGCTCAAAGCGAACAAAGCCAATTTATGTGCGGACGAGTCACATTTGTCGGTTAGTGGCAAAGATACGAAAGGCAGAAGCAAGATAAGCAATGAATACATGCTATTTATTGCTTATGGCATTTATGAAATGAAATTAGGATTTATTTAGGTCAACCACTGGAAAGTTTTAAGGCATTAAATCTGGCAAAACTTTTCCAAACTTTTTCATTTAAAATGTTAGTATTACAAATGAGCAAAACCAGTGATGATTTATGCTCAAAGTTTATCCAAATATTTACAAAAATAAAAACTTACCACTCAAGTTCGTTAAGTTATTGCAAAATTAGTTGAATTATTGCAAATAAACGACTTCTTCCATAATTAACTTTTTCATAATTATCATCCATTTAAAATTTTAGAAATGCAACCTTAAGGATTGAATCATCACTTACGCCTGCACCATTTTAACAGTCTTGAGTATTGTGATACTGATAAAATAGAGCTTATAATACCATCCTGATAATACTTCCTGATAACTGAGTTTATTGAAAGCTTTAAACAGCTTCATTTTAATCCTTAATCCATATAGCTAAAAAATTGTATTGTCTTACAAGAATACTGGAAAATTTTTAAGCCATTGAATCTGGAAAAACTTCCTATATAGGAAACCGCAAAACTGTATGGAAGAAATATCGTTAAGGAATTGGGATTACTATCATTACTGTAATATCTGACGTCTTTAAAATTATTGATGATGACCCTTTAATTATATAAATATGATGTAGCAAGACAAGAGATAAGTTTAATTCAGAATTAAAACTATATTTTCGAAGTTAAATTTTCATTTTTAAGCAAAGAAAGACTGATATTTAATAGTGTTAAAAACAAATTGATTGATAACTTGACTCGAATATCTACATCACGATATGCACAGGTTTTAGCATTGTTTCATAATAAAACAAATTTATTCGAACTGAAACAAAAATAACTTCAGTTTTTCTAAAATTGCAAATAGAGAAACAATAAAGGCAGGAACTTGATATAAGACTATGCAAAATCAAAAACTTTCAAATTCATAAAATAAATTTTCTCAACAATCTCAACTCATCAAAAGTTCAAGTTCGAGACAGCCAACTTTTTAAAATAAAAATCAATTTCAAATTTTAACTACACAAAAAACTGAGGAAAGTCAACGGAAGCATATAAAGCTTAGGAAATAAGTAAAATTTATGGATTGATAAAGGAAACAGCAATATAACGAGTTCCTTGGGTAGTTTCCAAACCTTCATGCAGATGCGTTAAACGACCCGGAAATATCATCGAATGACCTAGAAAATCATAGATAAAACCTAAACTGAAATAAGCTGCTAATAATAGCTCGAATTGAAATTGGAATAGCTTGCTCTTCCAGTAATCGGCAATAATCCAATTTCAGCCTATCAAAATCAGCTTTTACAGCAATAACAAGTCTAAATGATTATGTCTCATTATAGACTAATCTGGAAAGGCAGATTGACGAATTTACGTATCTTAACATTTATAAGGGTCCTTCTATTATTTTGACGGTTATCCGATTTGTGTGCTTCAATATTTTCATACTATCGCCACTACATTGTATTAAAAATTGAAGTAGGGCTCGGAAAATATCAAAACACACCATTCGTTATCAAAAAGAAATCTGTACCGCTTATTTAATATGCTAATGAGATACTGTCAAAATCAGAACCCACCAACAGTATCAGCATCAAAAGTGCAGTTATATCGTAAGAAACGAACACCGCCTCCTTCATAATCCACTCCTCGTTTATTCAGTGCAATATCAATACTATAGGTTGAAGCGTCATGATGAGGTCTTAATGAAGCTTGTTCCTCCGGCTTGTAACGTACGACAAACATCATTACGGACTCTACTGGCTGAGAGTGTAAGTTTAAATCTTGTTTAATGGTTAATGACATATTTCAATTTTGAAGGCAACATCAGCATATAAGTGAATGAAATTCAATAGCTGAAAACTACGAAAGTAAAGGAACAGTATAAACTTTTTCATAAATATTAATATCCTAATAATCAAGACATTTCAGGTAGAAATTTTGAATTTCAATAAAAAATGTTTTTTTTTTTTTTTGGCAAAGTATATCCTTGATATGATTCTTAGTTTTTTATTGATTCCTTAGCTTTATTTCTTAACAATCGACAATTTTGTAGCAGTAATAAAAATGATTTACCTGTTTGTAATAACCAATAAACAGTTTCTCCTGTATTGGACGAACATATTCATCTAACATATATAGCCAATGCCGTTCGAAACCAATTTGATTCATATGAATATCTCGAGTAGGCACATTTTCATAACCACCAACTAATCTTTCGTCCTCAAATTTGATTTTACAATGAGTACGCAGGGTTCTAACTAATTAATTTTTTAATTAACTTAGGGTCCTAATTAACACCAAGCATATGAAGCTTCTTGAACTTCTTAAAAGTAATTCAACTAATAATATATTCCATTTTACTATATTTTTTAAAGCAAATAGATCTATCAAGCAACTGGTCAACAGTTCAATACCTTGTGTTTACCATCTGACCACTTCCCATAATATTCACATTCTTCAATAAGCTCCGCACAAAATCTTTCGGACATAAGTGGAAAATCATATACATCCTGACATATTTCCAGAATTTGTATTGAACCATTAAGAGCAGCGAAATAGTTCGGATGTATATACCGCTTTTCCCACAACTGAAAGAATTTTGATACTCTTCAAAAGATCTTCAAAGACAAAATATTAAGAAATAAAGCAAAGGAATATTCTGTTTCAAAACAACCTTACTGCTAAAATATATTCTGCCATGTTTCAAGACAACATTAGTAATATAGACAAAACAATGAAGGCTGAAATTTTAGAATAATGTCGGAAAACCGACAAGAGTTCAGAATCAGCAAAATTCGAAAGGCTGACCTCTTTATTATTGAAAATCTCATACATATCCGGATGAACTTTGGATGATTCAACATCTTCGCTAACTACCAGGAAGCCGTAATAGTGGCTGTTATCAAGATAAAGAAAATGACCCTGTAAGTTACAAATAAAAAAAAAATTAAAGAAAACAATTGGAACAAGAACTAATTAAAGAAAAAAAAAATTTTTTTTTCTTCATTAACCAACTTCTTTTCAAAGGATACTGATCAGACATATTGGACGAACATTGGTGCACCATTGGGAAACCACAAACTGAAAGTTTTTTATTCCATTACTTACTTTATCACGTGCAAATGAGCAAAAGCTCATGTCGGGATCTAGCTTATCGTTATAATAATATGCATTTGATAAGGATGTCAGCTGGAATAAATAACAATAATCAAATTACAATCAAGTATATTCGATACAGCCATCTTAATATAATGAACTAGTAAATAGGAATTAGAGAAACGGTTTTAATTTATTCAAACGAAAAAATAAATTCTGACGAGAACTGAAGTCCTAACCAATCACTACTTCTACTATGAAACATTTCCCAAGAGCACTTTGAAAGTGCAAATTATAAAATTGCTACTGAACACATAAATGGTACCTAAAATGAAATAATGTTTTGAAATGAAATAAAAATGAATGTTTTTTCTATAAAAATTCCTTGTTGATATTTTTCGATCACAAGTTTGCACTTCGCTGCTCATAAAATTGATAAAAATCTGTAGGATTTAAAACATCTGATAAATTCGTCAGCACATGAAAACTGGGAAGAATGAGTTAAATGAAACTGCGCACTTTTTCCTTCGCAATTATTAAAATCGAACTAATGAAGGGTACGTTCCAAAGTCCCACTTCTTTATAATCAATGATATCCAGATAATTCTCGGATCTAGCGTAATATCCATTACTAGAGATTGCGCCCCAGAAATTAGTGAACAACTTATGTGGTTGCCCAACTAAAGGTGCAAGAATGTCTCTGCAATATATAAAATTTCCATATTTATCTCCTCGTTGGATCAAATAATTTACAAATCAAATAATTTTTATCAAACTTTCTAAATGTGTTGCAAGGTTTTTCCATAAACATACGAATCTTTTTCTTTCACTCTGTGAATCATAAGCAGCAAGGCTTCCGAATTATTTAAATGTACATCGCCATCAATCATTATTAGGTAGTCGTCACCCAGTGCCAAGCTTTGTTTTCTAGAAAAAAATTCCCAAAAAACTGCTGAAAACTTAAAAGAAAATTTGGAAAAAAAAAGACCGGATTGAATTGAATTGTCCTACAGAGAAAAACATTTTTAATCATCCACTTTTAAATTAAGTAGTCGTCACTCAATTCCAAACCAAACTTTGTTTCTAAAGAGAATTTTTTTTAAAATAAAAACACGAACAATGAAAATGCACGAGCTTCACGCTCACCCAATTCTGTTGTGCTGCCATCATACAGTAGTGATCGATAACGCCCTTTAACATCTTCAACAAAGCCACTGGTCTAGAAAAATCTGAAAGCTATGACAACCAAGCGGAAAACAGATACAATTTTGACTTTTTCTTCAAATCAAGTTTACTAAACCTTATGTTTAAAGCGAATCTACTTTAAGATTTATCAGAAGGAAATTTATTTGTGAAATTGGATAAAATAACTTTTTCGCCTGATCTTTCACAGCCATTTCAAAAAAAAATATCAAGAATTTTATTGTAAAATGACCGTTGTAATGAAATAACAAAACTTACTTCTTTTTCCAAAAAATTTTGATTGCAATAAACATATAAATCAATTTTCTCATCTGCATACACCAAGCTCTTAATATTTTCGAAAAACTCACGAATAAATGGTATCGGTTTGGAAATAATGACCGACAAAAATAACCTCGGTAATTCAATCTTTTCAAGATCCTGAATTTACATTCATCAAAGTTATCATGAAGGTACAGAATTCGGAATAGGAACAACAGAAGCTAAGAACTGTAACACACAATTTTCAGTTCGAATTATTTAATTGTAAAATGAATAAACATTCTATTTAAAATATATTGTAAAAATGTATCAGATTTTTTTTTTCTGCTTTTATTTAAAATTTCCAGCAGTACCATTGTTGTGTGCTGAGTTTTTGCAGTGGTTATCCTAAGCGGATCAACGTAATTACCGAAATAATTTAAATGGAGCTTGCTTGGACCATTACCATGTATAACC